GCATGCCAAAGGACTGTCAGTACCAGCTAGCACGACGCAGGTGTGCAACTTGGACAGGTAACTGAGCTCTCCGAGGCCATATCCTCACTCTTTGAACAGGGACAGTGAGGTCTGTTTCACAAGGTTGTTGCAAGGATTGTGTGAGATCGATTAAAGCCTCATCCCATGGCATGGTGGGCAGGCAACAAAGGGTTCATAGCTGTGGGTAAGGAAGCACAACCAACACCCTTTTTTAAAGCCATAGTTCTCAACCTTGGCCACAAGATGGAACTCCTCCTCCCGGCAGAACGCCCGCCCACACTCCCAACCGTCTGGCCCCACCCACCGAAATCCTTATTTAATTGGTCTGGGGTGCAGCAGGGACCTGGGAATTTTTAAAGGCCCCCCCTGGGAATTCTAAAATGTAGCCAGGGTTGAAAACCATTGCCTTAAAGACATCCGCAGAATAAGTTCTTAGTCAGAAGGGCCTGCCACAATTACATTTTGGAATCAGAGCTACTTTTCTTTGAGAGAGGGCGAGTCTGTTCCGTGATTAAGTCTTTGAAGAGATAACATGCTCCCACACTCAACGGTGATGAATGGATTTTCCTGTGGGGTGCTTTCTGTCCTCTCCCCCTACTCTTCCTCCTCTCTCAGACACACATTTACACAGACTTTAAAGAAGCCTTCAGGATTCCAGAATGTTTGCCGACAAGGTGTGGAAATGACATTTAAATCGACAGTGAGAAGTTCTCGTCCAACGGTGCAGTGTCTAAGTCCGGTACGGGGCTGGCGGGTTTGAAAATACTGGTCAATTAACAGTTAATTGTGAATTGGAACAAGACTCAGGATTCCCAAAGGTCATGATTACTTGAGCCTAGAGATTGGCTCCAGTCAGGATGCTGGCAGTGGATCACAGATTGACTTAATGTGTCTCCCTGCAGGGTGGATGCCGTTTTATCTTGTACACTCTGCCTTTTCGAGAACTATTACCACACGGGTGTTTCCCTCCGGTGTGCTCAGGACCACTGTGAGCTCTTAGATCATTTATAATAACGTTCGGCAGGGTAACGAGGGCTTGAGTTAATTCAAACAATTAAACGGTAAACATTTTTTATTGGCAACTTTGCAAACAGCACAATATTGTGGTCCTGAAGTAAAATAAGTCCATTCCAGGTGTTTATAAATTATCAGATTTGGAGCTTGCAGAATACCAACAAATGCCAGAGCGGTGTCAAACACTTCTGCAGTTACGTATAAACTCAGGCCTTTTTTCTATGTGTGTGTGTGTGGTTTCCAGTGTGGTTGGAAATAAATACATTTAAAATGTCAGTTTATGGCTTTGATATATCACTAGGGCGCACACACACCACATTTTTCACTGGAGGTAGTTTATATGCTCTGAGCTGGAAAATGATGAAGAACTATTTTTATCTCCCAAGAAACTAACCCAGGGGCTTTTGGTGGGCGTTTGATCTTTTAACCAGAGGGAATAAACAATACAATTTCATTCTCTCTCTCTCTCTCTCTCTCCCTGAAACACCCTTTTAAGGAGACATCAAGTTGGCAGCAGCACTGGGGAGTCTAACTGACAGACTGGAAGGATCTGGGCTCGGAGATCAAGCCATGCCTTGATTTTGTCATCAAACAAAGCCGGAGTGTAGAAGGCACTTGAAGAAAAAAAATTCAGCACAGGATGCCATTCGGGTTCTGAAATTAGGGGACACAAACGTAGGAACAAAGCGTCCTGTAATGGACCCAACTTGAAAAAAAGTAACAGTCGTATCTGACCTTCATTTCTGTGGGGAAATTAGGTTTAGTTTGGGCAAGTGCTGAATTATGCAAGGTCGTCAGAAAGTTATCCTTGAGAAACTGGCCAGGTGTCGAGAGCAGGTGGGTTGATCTATTAGTCTCGGACACCACATGAGGGGCTTCCTTCTTGTGCTCTGCCTCCCTTGGGCGTTTGCTTCCGGAGGCACCGGCCCCGGGAAGGAGGCTGTGCTTTTCTAGTGCTGGGTCACTCTGGTTTGTATTCTTTTTCTTGCCTTGTTTATAAACCGTTGGCTGTCATTTCTCATGTCCGTCTAATCTCTCCCTCTGAGGCAGTGCCTTCCAATTCTCCCCACATTGCTTGTTTTAACCAGCTATAAGTGGGATCACAGATCACTGAGGTTTTCAAAGACAAGAATAAAATATGATCCAGGCTCTGAGTTCAGGCCCAAGGCCTGATCTAGGGAAAGCAGCGAGCTTCTTGTGGACAGTATTACAGCGGTTTAGAGACTGACTTTGGGGGTGGAGGTTGAGGGGGGAATGCGCGGGCTTTGGCTCTGTTCCAGGTTAAGACTATCTGAGATAGTTGACCCTGATCCCTCTGTATGACACTTCAGCATTCGATGTGTGGACTACCCGGGCAATGCTTCTGACTAGTAGAGAGGCAGCCTGGTGTGGTGTTTGGGACTGAGCTCCCACTTAGGACTCCTGGGACCCAGCACCAGCCATGTGACCCAGCACCAGCCATGTGACCCAGCACCAGCCACATGACCCGCATCACTTCTGTAACCTCCACCTGGTGAGGAAGACAACTTTAGAGCTGTCATGGGCAGTTTTTCTAAGCAGCTCTTTAAAGTGCTTAGAACAGGGCCTGGTATACAGTAAGTGCTAAATTCGTGTTTGTAACTAAAATGATAAAATAAAGCTTACTTAAGGAGCTACTCTCACTCAAAGACCAAAATATACGGATCAGCTTTTGCCAGTTTATCCAAGAGCAAAGAAACTAAGTCTGTGTCTCTCATCCTGTTTATGAAAAACAAAAACAAAACCAAAAATCCAACCAAACACCTGAACACTCACTCTCGTGTGCAAAGCAGCAAGCTGGGTGTGAAATGTTTTGACTTCAAGAGCATCATATGCTCTCAATCAATTTACCTGTGGTCACTGTGAAAAGTTTATTCTCTGCAAAAGTCTTCCATTTCATTTGGACACGGGTAAAATTTTTTTTTTTTTTTTTTTTAGAGAGAGAGAGAGCACAGGCAGAGGCAGAGGGAGAAGCAGGCTCCCCACAGAACAAGGAGCCCGATGTGGGACTCGATCCCAGGACGCTGGGATCATGACCTGAGCCTAAGGCAGCGGCTTAACCAACTGAGCCACCCAGGCGTCCCAAACGGGTAAAATTTTTTAAGAGACAATTGAAATTTGGTTAAAGTTAATCCATTAGTCAATAACAACTTTGAATTATAAAGGTTTATAGATATTCCTAAATAGCATACTTTATCCATTTTCATTTTAGCTCAACGTTTCACGTTAGTGTATAGGGTGTTAGTCTTTTAAAAGTTTAAATACAGATTTTTTTTTAGTTAGAAAAGAAATATGTGCTAATTGCAGAAAATCTGAAAATTCAGGTGAGCATCAGGGAAAAAGAATTCATGGTCTTACCACTGAGGTCACTCAGTAGCCTTTTGTGGATTTCCTTGGTTACTTTACATGTTGTGTTTACATCTGATCATTGGTTATATACACTTTGTATATACAAGTTGGAGTTTGGGGGGAGAGATTTTTTCTGATATCTACAAATGTTAGAAATTTTAAAAATATAGGAGAGTGGAAAGAAAACAAAAACTGACTGCTTGGATGCAAACATGTTTCTCTTCCTCACATCACCCACCTAGTGCTTCTAATTGAAGCTTGTCTGCTGCAGCATTTGTGGAAAGGGGATAATTATTGGCCAGAGGTCCTAGCCTCTGGTAGCGGTGGATAGGAACTTGCCAGGGAAGGCAAGTTCCAGTGGGGTATCCAGATGGGACACTGACCTTGACCCTGTCACGTGAAACCTGGTGGGAAGGCACCACTGCAAATTCAGCTAGCTCACTTTCCCCTTTGACTTCTCTAATCACAGCAGGGTAGTGGCTGGACTAAAACCAGGATCCCATCTTCTGCCTCCCAGAGCTGTACTTTTGCTCTGGAACCCACACAGTAGGTCCTTAATAAATAAAAATCTACTGAATGAAAAAAATCACCTAGAATCTCACTACCCAAAGATAACTGTTGCTAACATCATGCTTCTTTCCTTCATTTTTTTAAAGTGAAGCCCAATGTGGGGCTTGAACTCATGACCCTGAGATTGAGACCTGAGCTGAGATTAAGAGTGGAATGTGAACTGACTGAGCCACCCAGGTGCCGCTCACATCATGTTTCTAAGGGGATAAAGAAAGTTGTGTTGTACACCCCATGTTCTGATTTTCAGCAGAGTTACACGGGCACAGTCTAGGTAGGATCAGGGAGAGATTATCTTGAAGGTGTTAGGGTCCACCACCCTCCCCCTAAAAAAGAAAGATACATAATCCTGATGACTCAGATCCTTTGATATGTGTTTTAAACAGTACAGAAAACATTAGGGAGGTTTTTATGTTTTTTAGTTATTCTTTTTGGTAGCTTATTTTAATGCTCACTCCAGATTTTCTCCATGATGAGTTAATTAGAAATCTGAAGATTGCCAAAGTTTCCAGCTTACAGTAACACGTGGGGAAGGAGAGAGATTTAGTGTTTCCCTGGTTAAATACACCATCAGGAGACCAGGGACGAGCATACGGCCGGTGCGGGAGGGGACCTTTGGCTGACTGAGCACCCCTGCACCGAGAGGGCAGTAGCTTGGCCCTTCCTACATGGACTGCTTGGCCCCAGCCCCGTGGCTTTCTTCTACCTGGCAGTTTTCCGTCAGTGCCAAGGCTCCCAGGACTCTGAGAGAGGAGGCTCTTCTCTGTTCTGTTTCCTGCTCCTAAACTTTTCCTACTGAGAACCCAGCTGAGCCCCTCATGTAGGGTCAGTTCAGAGAAAGTACTCTTTGAAGGCATTTGTGAAATCTGGTTAACACTTCCTTCCAGTTCCCCTTGGCCTGTGTTTGGAAAGTTCCTCTAACCTGTAATACAGACTTTTAAAGTTAATGATAAACATATTTGCAAATTATCTTTGATTCTGATATGCCAGTTATCAGAGAAGGCCAGACATCTGCAGAGTCAATCCTTTACCTGAAAGGGGATCTCCAGTACTGTCTGGAAAGCCGTTTTCTTCTCCCTGTCAACCAGAAAGCAACCTTCATTAGAATCATACTCAGATGTGAATGGAGATAGTATCAATTTTCCAATGTAGTTAAGTTTCCACCAGAACCTGGCAGGGAGGGTGGTGATGTATCTCAACAACAGTATTGTAAGGGGTAGGGAATGGAATAGAAGCTCCTGGAAGGCAGGAGCTTTGGTCTGTTTGCTCCCTGTGCTGGGTCCTCTGTGCCCAGGACAGTGTTTGGCACGCAGCAGACCCCCAGTGGATGAAACAATGCGCTATCGTTTTACTTTTACTTCACATGAGGGATGATTTTTATTTTATTCCCCATTTACTCTTTGTTTGGGCTTGCTGTCAGTCTAGGTGGTAATTCATTTCTGTATCTATAAAATTTTTTAAAAACATATTTTGATCTCTTTGGACAGTGTCCATATCTCTAGAGATGACCGTGTTTCTGCCTTTCTCCTGGGGCTTCCGTTTTTAGAAGCAAGGCTGTGCTATGGGATAGGCTCGATGGAGGGATTTACTCTGACCCTGCTGGATGCTGTGTGTGTGTGTGTGTGTGTGTGTGTGTGTTTTTTCAATGAAGTCAGCAGAGACCATCCTCAGGACATGTTTGTTTATGTTAATACCACCTTCAGACAGTGAAAGCCTCTCTCAGCAGCCTGTAGGACCCCTTTATTCGGATTCCAGAAGCAGCACCAGGCATGGACTCCAAAGCCCTGGGTTTTCGTCCAGCTGCCCTGGTCACCTGAAGGACCTCACGTACCAGCTCAGCTTTCTGGATCATCATTTGTAGGTCAAGGTGGCCACAAACTGGCTCATCACTAAGGTGCTCTGCCTTCTCAGTTTTGCCCTGAAAGTCTCACTAACTCCCTGGGGTCGAGCCTTTTGAACGGTGTTTTCTCTTCATCGTCTTAGAAGCCCTCCCCCTCCCTCCAAGCTCATAAATCCCCATGTCTCAGCACTGTAGATACATTTGTCTAATTAGGAGCCTCATTTTTTTTTTCCACACGAGAAGCATTCCAATGTTTAACCAGCCAGATCCCCACTCCCTCCTCCCCCCAGCAACAAATCTAAGTATTTCTTGTTTCTGTTTGAGTCTTGCTCCTCACCATTGTCCTAACTGGAATGAAAAGCAACCCGCTCGCTCTGTGCATACAGCGAGTCAGGGTTATAAGAAGTTTTTGAAAGAACAAAAATCTTTTTTTTTTTTTTTTTTTTTAACTTTTACAAGGCTAACCCCAGAAGCTCCACAAGGGGAGGGCCACTGTTGGACGGGTCATGCAGAGACCTGCCTTCCCACATCTGTGCAACGGTGGCAGGACCGGGCAGGCGTGCTTCTGTCAGCAAAGTCACGGTGCTGCCCACCGAATTGGAAACGCGCACGGAGCAAACACAAACAGTCCCTTCAGCTGGTGTTGACAGACACAAATGTGGAAACTTGACAGGCTCCGTGGGACAAAGGAGGTCCCCACTCCCCCACGAGCTTTCCTTTCACACGAGACTACGTTACATGGCATAGGTGACCTCTCATCTCATGACCTGGAGAACGTTTTTACCAAAGACCATGTCTGGCCAGAATCATCCCTGTGACAGAGACGAGGGACATGATGTGACTTGGGGTGACTTGTGAAGGTCGGTGGAGACAGAATAATAGAATAACATCTATGATCTCTGTTCTTGCTCTGATTATTATACTACTTCTTAGGTTAAGTTTTCTAAGAGTGAAGTCAGAAGAGACTTCTTTTTGCATTTTTTTAAAAAATGCCCCCCCTGAAACCACACTCATGCCTTTACTCCACGTCTCTTGCTGGAGCACCCAGTATGTACCAGTTCCCTGTGTCGGAACCTATATACAAAGATTAAGAACTCTGAACCCTTGACCTCAAGGCCTGCCCTCATATGCTGGGGAAGCAGAGACACACACAACTAACTAGAATACAAGGCAGATGGTGTAGAGTTCCAATATGGAGGTGTAGACACAGAGAGGAGACGTTTCCTCTGACAGAGAAAAACCACAGGGGGTTTCTTGGAACCAGAGATGTTTGAGATGAGCTTTTCTGAGGATCTGGTGGTGGGCACTTGGAGGCAAGGGCACTGAGCCAAAGGCTCAGGTGAGCCGGCAAGAAGTGGCAGTATGGCGCCTGTAGGGCACTTTGTCCAAAGCAAAGGCCATGAGAGGTGATAGAGGGAGATGCTGAGGCCAGACTGAGGTCTGGAAGGCCGTCTAAGGAGCTGGGCTGCAGCTCACAGACAACAGGGTGGGGTTGGAGGGTCACTCAGGAGCTCTCTCCAGAAGCAGAGCAGGAAGTGCCACCTGGCTGTGTGTGCAGCACAGGAACATGGCAGTTAGGGAGCCTGCACATGCCAGGTGACTGTGGGGTGCGGGGGTGGAGGAAAGCAAGATGGCCTTGGACACGATGATTAATGAGACCCCAAACCACTCATTTGGAAAATGTACGAATAAAGCCGGAGCCACTGTAGAGATATAGTCACAAGGTCAAAGAAGAAGAAATCAAGAGAGTTTGGAAGAGTGATGGATAAGACCACCAGATGTCCGTGGGTGCTGAAACATGGTGCTGGTCCTTGAGGGAGGTCAGGGCCAGAGAAGAAAATATGGATGTTGATAGGATTATGGAAGAAGAGAGAGATGGTTGGAGAGCAAGATGTGGGATCACAGCCTTGAGGAGCACACTGACACCTATGTTTTGGGGGCAGGGAGGGTACTAGGGGCAAAGCAGAGAAGGGAGGTCAGAGAGGAGGGAGAAAAGCAAGAGGTGACAATATCAAGCCAGGAAAATTTCAGGAGCTCTGTGGGTCCTGCCAGACAAGATTTGGTGAGGAGATGAGTGGTGACATCTGAAGGCAGTTCCAGCCAAGAGATGGATATGAAAGCCAGCTCCTACCAGGTGGGTGACGAGGACAGAGGTTGTCAGCCTGCAGCGCTACCCTCCCCCCAACCCTTCTATCTGCTTAACCTACTCTTATCGTTGAGGTCCCGGCTCGGACATCACTTCCTCTTGAAAAGCCTTCTGCAAACTCCCAGGGTGGGTCATGTGTCAGGATGTTCCCACAGCATCCTGTCTGTGCACCCCACAGGATGCTTGCTACACTGGCTGTGGGGGGTTCAAGTGTCTCTCTTCCGCACTAGACTCTAGACTGCCAGGCAAGGGCCCTTGTCCAGACTGTCCTGTGATGAGCACGCTGGAAAGAGATAACACATAATATCTGTGTAAAGGACAGCGAGTGGGAGGGAGGAAGGAAAGAAGACACAAATACGGTGTGGAGTCTGTGGTCTCCAGAGCAGGGGAGGAGCTGCCGTCCTCCATGATGCTCTCCCATGCCTCGCTCATGCCCTCTGATCCTACTCATTGGCGTCACCTTCTCAGTCACTGGTTCTGTGGTCTTCACCCCTGCTGCACTGTTCTGGCCTTACCTGGATTCCTGTCCATTCGGTCATGGTCCAGTGTCTTAGCCATGTGTTTATAAACATCCTAGACTTGTCCGTCAGCTGTGGGCCCCTGGCCAGTCCTTAGCTCTGCCCTCCCTTCCCCATCTTGCTCTAAACTGCTGACTATTGCTTGGGGAAAAAGAAGTGATAAACTCCCACATTTATAAGATCTCAGCAGGGTCTCAACTGCTCCTTGGTCACGCTTGGTTTTTCTTCCACTGTGTCCCTTAAGGCCCTCTTGGGTGTTGTTCCAAACCTCTTCCACCCAGCTGAAGGCCTCATACCCATTTGTGTCTCTTATCCCGAGAAGGGGCTGGGCCAGTGTATTTGTCCCCACTCTTCTCCTTTTCTCCTATCTCTGAAGAGATGGTATCTTTTCATCTTCAAGGGCCAACCTTTATTCTTGAACTATGGTCCTGTGCATATGTTTTTAATGGCACATACCAGGAAGGGTGGGGCATATCTTATCACTGCCTAGCACTGAGCTTTGGTGCTGTGTTCAGAAGTGTTAGTTCAATATCACTCAACCCAGAATCATTGCATGGGGGCCTCTTGCTACAGCACAGGGCTTGCCTCCAGGATCAGACCAACCTTGAGGAGTGGTCTGAGGTGGGCCAGGAGGAAGAGGATCACTTCATAGACAAGGCCCAGGATACAGAGGATGTGGCAAGTTCTGTGATGGTTCTGAAAGCAGCTGATGTGAGGGATTTCCAAAAGGAGACTGTGGGCTCCACCTGGATATCAGAGGGACATGACATACCAGTAGGAAACGTGGACAGATAATCCCTGGTGGCAGACAGGGCCAGTATCAGCCCTCAGGAGATGTGCTGGTGATGGGAAACTAATGTAAGCCCAGTTCTAGGGAATGGGAGTCCAAGGGACCGGGGGAGCTGTGACTTGAGCACGGAGGCCCAGCCTGTGGCATCCTTGGGACCTAGGACTGGGGCCTGAAGGAATGAATGGTGCTGAGTTGCACAAGCTGGACATCTTGCTGCTCCCATTAAAACTGATCCAGGAACATGGAGGATAGTCGTGGGTCACAGTGGCACCAGACTTAGTTGTGAACAAGCCAGGACAGCGGGGGAAATGAGCCAAGGGCTCCTATCACATACAAGTCTCCCCTGTTCTAAGCCAACCTCTGAAACCAGTCCTCTCCTTCTACCGCTTTCTTCTTCCTTAATTCTTTCCAGACTTCTCAAGGACTTACTGCTACAGAGTGGATACTATCTGCTAGGTACGTCATGCTTTGGGTTAGCTCACTGACTACTCCAAGTACTTCTCAGGAGTGAAGAACTACCATTTACAAATGACAGAAAAGATTTCTGCATAAAAGCCTTGTTTTAATTATGAATGAAGTTCAAGTATAAACCATCGGTTTTGTGGGAAAGAGCAGCTTCTGGGTATGGTTGGATCTGTGTGCCAAAAAAGAAAGGTCTAGATAAGAAAAAAGATGGAAACAACCCAAAGGACCGTTGACAGTTGAATGGGTTAACCAAATGTCCAATATGACCCAGACTTAAAAAGGAAGGAAATTCTGACCCAGGCTACAACATGGATGAACTCTGAGGCCATTATGGGAAGTGAAATAAGCCAGTCACAGAGGGACAAATATTGTATGAGTCCAGTTATATGGGGGTACTTAGAGGAATCAAATTCAAAAGACAGAAAGTAAAATAGTGATTGTCGGGGGGCAGTGAGTGGAGAAGGGAGAATTACTGTTTAATGGGTATAGAGTTTCAGTTGAGGAAGAAAGTTCTAGAGATGGATGCTGGTGATGTTTGCTCAGTGTGAATGAACTTAATGCCACAGAACCATATACTTAAAAATGGTCAAGATGGTAAATATTATGTATATTTTGCCACAATAATTTTTTTTTCTTAATCTCCTCAGGAAATCTGAAGAGACCACAAAGTTGAACACCAACGTTTTATATATCCCAGGAGGCTAAAGAAAATCCCTCTTTTGTAAAGCCTTCTCATTGTGAATAGGGGGGAATTACCTTATACTTGGGCAAAGGTGTTAACTGCTCCAAGAATTCTCTGAGCAGAAAGTTGGCTAGGTTACACTTGTTCCATACTTCAGTTAACTTATAAACTGGTCGCCAGGTCCCATTTCTGCTTCTGGAGCTAAAGGCACTAGGTGACAAGAAGCCACCTCTGGAGATTTCACACAGGGCTCACATAGGGCTCTGGACATCTCACACAGATTTCACACAGCAGCAGAAACCCTAAGGCCAAGAATGCACTGTGGGGAAAAATTTCTCCTAAGAGATGAATGTGCATCCCATGTGGGGATGGACTGAGAGGCGGAAGACGCTGACAGATTGATGGGGAGGGTACTAACCGGTACCTAGGAGCTAGTCTTCTACAAAACATGCTCTTCCGGACTGTCTAGTTCCATCTTTAAATGTCTATGCTTAGCTAATTAATAAAGAGTTCTGTCTTTGTTATTTTGTAAAGTAGGGTAAAGATAACTGGGTGGGAAAGCACTCAGCAGGCTGGTTAACCTGATTTTCACCTGAGTCTGGCTGGAAACCACCACGAAGACCAAAACCAAGTTATCACGGCTCACTTGGAGGCAGAAACCTGAATTCTACCCAAAGAGTCAGAAAAGAGCTACCTTCCATGCAAATGACTTTCCCACTTGAGGTACCAGTTCAAGCAAATTCCTTAAGTAGCTTCTTTGGGAGAACAACCAATGCTAAATCTTGATCTCTCTGCTTTAAGACAATATTTTAGCAAATGGCTTTGAAAATATGATTTTAAGAAGTGGGTGTGCAATAGTAACAAATCCTCTATAGCATGGATTTAGACTGTTCTAGACTCTCTGCTGTCACACAGCCAGTGAAACTCAAGCCACTTTCAGTGGTGTGAATTCCCAACACACAGCAGGTATCCGTGTAACTCTCCTGAACGTATTTATCTGTCATCCGCTTGTACTCATTGGACTAGCCTATGAGGCTCCTGTTGTATTTTTCTAAAGCAATTTATACTTAATTATTTTTTCTACAAATTAATTATGATTACTACAGTTAACTATTTGCACTTTTACTGAAGTACACTATATATAAAAGTTGGGCATATCTATTTACTTGAAAGTATATTTCAGAAACTGGCCTTTAGAAACGTATTTAACTGACGATATGCTTACTAAGCACCGACTCAGTATCCAAGACCACCGTAAGGCTTGGAATATGGAGACAAAGAATCCATACCCTCATGCTTCAAGGTTACAAGCCGGTAATGAAACAAAGATGTGAGCATAAATATTGACACCACAAGGAATGAGTAACGTGTTAGAAAGGCACAGAGAGAATGCCAGGGGAGCACAAAGGTGGGCAGGAATTCAAGTGAGACCTCAGGGAACAGGGAAAGTTTCACTGAGGATGAAAGAACGAACTGCAGAAGAATAGAAATTTGGAATAAAGGCTGCACTGCTTTGCTGGGGTGAGAGCGAACCTGTGGGTTTGTGTACACTTGGTTCAAAGGGGGTTCTCTCCAACTGCGAGGAAGACCTGCTATTCTGGGAGTTGAAGTGGGGGTCAAAGCCTGGAGCGGCTGCCCCTGGGGCTTGGAGGCTGGGTTTGCGCAGGTGTCATTTCATACCCTCGCTACGGTTTCAAAGGCGAAGGAGGGAGGGGTTTTCCCCTGGAGCATGAAGTGTGGTTGATTACTGCTCTGAAATATCGTCAAATGTTTCCCGGGAGGTTATGGTTTGCACATGCAGGGGCAGAGGCTGTCCCGGAGAGGGAGGGGGTTTCCACCCAGATTCCTAACACTCACAGATCCCAGGCGGGGGACGCACAGGATGCCGGACCACAGACTCGTGCAAGGCTGCAAGACCAGCCGTACACTCTCTACGCTGCAGTTCACCCTCTCGTCTTCCCATGCCGTATAATTACGTGTGGGCTGAAGACACACCACTTGGTTCCAAGGGCCAATATGTGGAAGCTGGTTAGGCCTTTTTGTTGTTGTTGGTTAGGACTTTTTAAAAAAGATTTTATTTATTTATTTGTTTATCTGAAAGAGAGTGAGAGAATATGAGTGGTGGAGGGGCAGAGGGAGAAGGAGAAGCAGACTCCCCACTGAGCAGGGAGCCGGATACGGGGCTGGCTCCCAGGACCCTGGGACCATGACCTGAGCCAAAGGCAGACACTTAACTGACTGAGCCACCCGAGTGCCCCTGGAAGTTGGTTAGGCCTAAATACCATCCAAATGTTTGGATGAGTTATTTCAAGACTTTAATTTGCAAAAAAATACCAAAAATACTCACAAAATAAAAAATCCAGATGGCTCCTGACTCATGATTTAAAAAAAAAGGTCCATGTTTTTTCGACTTTACAGGGGTACAAAAGTGATACATGTTCAGTAGAAATGGCACTTTGGAGTTTGGATTGGGATCTTTTTCCCAGGCTAGCAATCGCCAGTACGATCCTCTCTCCTGATGCCGGCCAGCAGCCCCAGCTCCCAGGCAGCCCACAACCACAACGGGTCAGCAGCCAACACACCGACAACCCTTCCACACCCACACAGCCGTTCTGCTCCCCCCCGTCAGTATGGTGCTCAATCAGTGACGTGAGATCTTCAGCACTTTCTTATCAAATAGGCTTCGTGTGAGATGTTCTTGCCCAACTACAAGCTAACAAAAGTGTTCTCTCTCTCTCACCCACTTTTTCTTTTTTTAAGATTTTGTTTTTGTGAGACAGAGGACACACAAGCATGTGCACGAGGAAGGGGAGGGGCAGAGGGAGAAGCAGACTCCTCATTGAGCAGGGAGCCTGATGCGGGACTTGATCCCAGGCCCCTGAGATCATGACGTGAGTTGAGGGCAGATGCCCAACTGACTGAGCCACCCAGGCACCCAGTAATGCATTTTCAACTTAAATTTATCTTTAACTTATGTTTTTTTTTGTTTTGTTTTTTAACTTACAATGGGTTTATGAGGGCATAACCCCACTGTAAGTTAAGAAATATTGTTATTCAAACAGTTTTTAAAAATTTATTTTTTTTTAAAGATTTTATTTATTTATTTGACAGAGAGAGACCACAAGCAGACAGAGAGGCAGGCAGAGAGAGAGAGAGAGGGAAGCAGGCTCCCTGCTGAGCAGAGAGCCCCACGCGGGACTCGATCCCAGGACCCCGAGACCACGACCTGAGCCGAAGGCAGCGGCCCAACCCACTGAGCCACCCAGGCGCCCTTAAAATTTATTTTTAAAATTCTTTTATTTGACAGAGAGACAGCAAGAGAGGGAGAGGAAGAAGCAGGCACCCTGCCGAGCAGGGATCCCGATGCGGGGCTTGATCCTGGGACCCTGAGATCATGACCTGCACCAAAGGCAGTCACCCAACCAACTGAGCCACCCAGGTGCCCCCAAAATGTTTTTTTAAAAAGCTACAAGAGATGTGAAAATCTTTCTCTCAATCTCTCAGACCATCTCCTCTTCCAGAGCTTACTGGTTACAATCTGGGGCATGTCCTTCCTGACTCCTTAGCCATAGGAACCAAGACTGAGACAATATTTTAGCCCCAAATCATAGCAGTCTACACCTTTTATTTATTTATTTTTTAAGTGGAGGAGGAGCAGAGGAAGAGGGAGAGAGAATTTTAAGCAGAATCCCCACTCAGTGTGGGGCCCAATGTGGGGCTTGATGTCAACCTGAGATCAAGATCTGAGCTGAAATCAAGAGTTAGACACTTAACAGACTGAGACACCCAGGTGCCCCTACAACTTGTTTTATTTAATAATATCCTATGGAGGGCACCTGGGTGGCTCAGTCAGTTAAGCTGTTCTCTTTGGCTCAGGTCATGATCTCGGGATCCTACATCGGGCCTCCCTACTCATTGGGGTGTCTGCTTCTCCCTCTCCCCCTCCCCCTGCTCGTGTTTTCTCTCAAATAAACAAATAAAATGTTTTAAAAAATAATATCTGGGGGCGCCTGGGTGGCTCAGTGGGTTAAGCTGCTGCCTTCGGCTCAGGTCATGATCCCAGGGTCCTGGGATCGAGCCCCGCATCGGGCTCTCTGCTCAGCAGGGAGCCTGCTTCCCCCTCTCTCTCTGCCTGCTTCTCTGCCTACTTATAATCTCTGTCAAATAAATAAATAAAATCTTAAAAAAAATAAAATAAAAATAAAAAACAGTATCTTATGGATATCTTTTAAGGCCATTGGTCTCTCCTTTTTTTTTTTTTTAAAGATTATTTATTTATTTATTTGACAGAAAGAGAGAGATCACAAGTAGTAAGAGAGGCAGGCTGAGAGAGAGAGGAGGAAGCAGGCTCCCTGCTGAGCTGGGAGCCCGATGCAGGGCTCAATCCCAGGACCCTGGGATCATAACCCGAGCCGAAGGCAGAAGTTTTAACCCACTGAGCCTCCCAGGCACCCCATGTCTCTCCTTTTTAAAATGGTTTTAACTGTACTAAGTCAAAGTCCTAAAACGTATCCAAGCAGTCCCTACAGAAGGGCATGTAAGTCATCTGCAATTTGTATCGATTTCAAACACACTCTGCTATGATATCTGTAGGATCCTTAAAGGGAGATTGCGTGACCAATGACTAATAGATGCTGCCGAACAGTGTTCTGGAGTATCAATTTCCACTCTCAACCGTGCATGTGGGTACCGACACCCCAACACCCACATCAACGGGAAGTCTAAGTGAAATTCTAACTCACGAGTGAAATTCAAAGGCATTACAGTCAATAAAGCACTGAATGATAATGAGAACAGAAGCCTTTAAGTCAAACAATTAGAGTGGATCTAATGAGGGACTGTATAATTTAGTGATTAATAAACTCCTCTTATGTTGTTCCTAGGGAAATAATTACTAAGTGCTAGAAAGCCGGCATTTCTGCCCTTTGGCTCATATGTGTCTGACCACAAATAAATTATTTTGACTTGCCCCAAAAGTAGAAATAAGTTAATAAAACATCAAATTAGACTATCAAATTAGAGTATAGATCTTCCTTGACTTACAACAGGGTTATATACCAGTAAACCCACTGGCAGTTGAAAATATCCTAAATTGAAAATGCGATACTATGGCTAACCTACCAAACATCATAGCTCAGCCCAGCAGACCTTAAAGGTGCTCAGAACACTTACAGTGGCCGGGGAGTCTGGGTGGCTCAGTTAAGCTTCAGACTCGGTTTCGGCTCATGTTGTGATCTCTGGATTGTGGGATCGAGCCCCGCACTGAGCAGCGAGTCTGTTTAAGCTTCTCGATCTCTCTCCCTTGCCCCTCCCTCCCACATACTCACTCTCTCAAATAAATCTTAAAAATAAAAAAAGTGGGAGAGAGAGAGAGAATAATTATGTTAGCCTGTAGTTGGGCAAGAACATCTCACACGAAGCCTATTTGATAAGAAAGTGTTGAAGATCTCATGTCACTGATTGAGCACCATACTGACGGGGGAAGCAGAACGGCTGTGTGGGTGTGGAAGGGTTGTCGGTGTGTCGGCTGCTGACCCGTTGTGGTTGTGTGGCAGCCTGGGAGCTGGGGCTGCTGGCCAGCATCAGGAGAGAGGATCATACTGGGGATCGCTAGCCTGGGAAAAAGATCCCAATCCAAACTCCAAAGTGCCAATTCTACTGAACACATGTCACGTTTGTACCCCCATAAAGTCAAAAAACCATTAAGTTGGCCCATCCTAAGTTGGGAGTTCTCTGGCCAAGTTTCTTAAAGAAGACATTTTCAAGGCCCTGGAATGATGACTGCAGGGGACACCATCGATTTGTCATGGGGACAGCAGTTTACATCTCATTATTGTGTCCGGCATTCAGAAACACAGGATACACATGGTCCTGGTCTACCTCAGCCAAGGGCAAGGCAAGACAGGTTCTACTGAAAATCAGCAAGGGCAGCTCCAGCCAGAAATGCCTGACAAGGGGAGGGCTGTAGAGAGCTGAGCCTGCGGGCAGGGCCAGGGAGGAGGTGGGAGAGGGGAAAAGGGACAAGTTTGGGTGTGTGCTGGGGGTTGAGTGGAGGGTTTGCTCCCTTTGATGATGTAGCATCACCTGCTGTGGTTCCCAGGGACGGCACAAGCAGAGTGAGGAGGTGGGCCAGCAGAAGGTCATCTTGCTGGATACACAAATTTAGTCTAGAGCAAGTAAGATAGTACAACCTGAGGAAGTTAAATTCTATCCTCAGAGACAAAGTCAGATCTTTATGTGTTTTAGGCAAAACCATGAAGCATTTCAAGACAAAGAAAAGATCAAATCCTTTGAAAGATCCTAATCAAATTCACCTGGTATTGCTTAAGTTTAACTTTCCTGGGGTTTGTGTATCTGTTCCCCTCATGGGGCACCCCAAACCCCTTAGTAGAGGTGAGGCGATCAAGTGTGCAGACTGGGGGTGGGGTGGGGAAGGAGAGAGGCTGCAGGGGACATGGGAGATGCAGAATACTTATATTTACAGAACAGGTGGTTTCCATCCCAGCAAAACCCACCCTTGAAATTCCTTCCCCTTCCTAGAAACGCCTAGAAAGCTGCGTCTCGAGAGCCCTCTCCCAGCCTGTTTCAGGAAGGGGCCCTCTATTTTGGACTGGCAGCTAGTGACTGCAAAGCCAAAGGAAGTCCTTCTCACCAGGGTTAAAAATAGCAAGTTCCAGTGCCAGGGAAAGTTTTCTAGTTTTACCGAACAGCACTGCTTCCTCATTCTCCAAATGTGGTCTCAGGGATGAAGGGGGCCGACGGAGTATTTCCGACAGCCAGAACTATCTGCCTTTCCCTCCAAGAACAAACCCGAGGGCTTACTGATCTGTTGCAGAGATCTTGTTGGTGCTTGAACGGATCGGGGCAGGAGGGCAGGTGGTGGCCTGCCGGGCCACCTCCCGTCAGATACCATCTACAGCAAACGCTGCCTGGGTCCGTTCCCTGTTATTAAAACGCACATAA